CAGCTTAGGAGCCACTGGGGTTCAGGCCTGTAGCAGGTAATGCTCTGGCCAAGAGCTCCGAGTCCCATTAACTTGGAACTTTCCTTTTTACTGACTGCTCCCTAAATGGTTACAGGGTGCAGCCAGCTGAGCCCATTGGTGAAAGCCAAAGGCATCCCATCTGTGAGCAATAGACTGTGAGAGGCAGACAGCTTTAGGATCTACTTATATCATCGCGGGACAGGCAGCTGGGAAGCCACCTCCAAGGCTGGTGGCTGCTGGTGGCCCCGAGGCAGATGAGGCACCAGGGAACAGAAGAGGGCGGGCTTGGGTGGCCCAGACCTGGGTTGGATCCTGGCTTTGCCCCTTTCTCTCTGTGATCTTGGGCAAGGTCAACTTTTAGCTTCTTCATCTGCAAAATGGAATGTTCCTGCTCTGCCCCTGGGATTGGTGGGTACTTTAAGTAAGAGAATGTGAGTAGAGACTCTAGAGCACAGTAGGTGCCTGGAAACTATTGTTATTATTGGGATGATGGTAGTGGATTCGGGAAAGAATGAGGAGGGGGAAAATTTCTACATGCAGTCTGGGTCTCGAGCTTTGTCTGACAGGAGGAATAAAAATAAAAAATAATTAACAAATGACAATAGCAGCAATATCTTTTATTTTTCCTGGTTCTTCTATATTGTTATCTCTGTGTATTTCCAGAGCAATCACCTGAGCAAGACAGGCTAGGAACCAGAATTCTCATTTACAGATGGGGAAACTGAGACGCAGCAAGGAAAAGATGGTTTAACGTGTTTGTTTCCCAGAGGTTGCAATGCAGACAGCAGTTGGGACGCAGGTTGTCACAGACTTTAACTAAATAATGTGGAGTTGTTTGGTGAGAGAACTGAGCCCTTTTGAGTTCTCTGATCCTCTGAGGACCCCGGGAGAAAGCGTCCTTTGGGTGATAAGATGTCTTTAACACCTTTCTCGTGCCTGGAGATCTTGCTCTGGAAGGAAGAAAGGGAGAAGACTTGCTGCGCCTTCAGGAGGTGGCCAAATGTCTCTAGAATTTAATAACATAAGTATGTGCTAATATAAGATATATACTATAGCTATAATAATAAATATATATAGTAAGTTAAATGTATTTATATAAGTAATGTAAAACACCAATGCTTCATTGGTTTATTTTGGAAGTTCCATTCTATTTATGTCAGTTGATGCTGATTTTTCCATTTCAAGTGGTGATATAATAATGACTGTAATCTGGTCACGCAGGTAGTGGTGATGGCAGTTGCTGGAGCACCTTCTAAGGGCTATTCCTATGCAGAGTCTCTGCGGGTATTACCTCATTCAGTCTCGCTCAAGTCTTTAAAGCAGGTACAATTACTACCTTCAGTTTTACCGATGAGGAAATGGAGGCAGAGAGAGTTAAGCAACCTGCCAGGTCATATAACCAGTAAGTGGTAGAGCCAGAATTTGAACTCGGGCAGTCTGGCCACACTCTCTGAACCTACAGGGTGATGTAAAGTCTCCATTTAAAATGCAATTATGTACGATTTTTTTTTTATTGAGAGGGCATCTCATATTTATTGATCAAATGGTTGTTAACAACAATAAAATTCTGTATAGGGGAGTCAATGCTCAATGCACAATCATTAATCCACCCCCAGCCTAATTCTTGTCAGTCTCCAATCTTCTGAAGCATAACGAACAAGTTCTTACATGGTGAACGAATTCTTACATAGTGAATAAATTCTTACATGGTGAACAGTACAAGGGCAGTCATCACAAAAACTTTCAGTTTTGATCATGCATTATGAACTATAAACAGTCAGGTCAATCATTATTCGTTTGATTTTTATACTTGATTTATATGTGGATCCCACATTTCTCCCTTTATTATTATTATTATTTTTATTTTTAATAAAATGCTGAAGTGGTAGGTAGATGCAAGATAAAGGTAGAAAACATAGTTTAGTGTTGTAAGAGAGCAAATGTAGATGATCAGGTGTGTGCCTGCAGACTATGTGTTAATCCAAGCATTATGTACGATTTTTAAAAAGTGAGTAGATTCGAATAAAAACAGGAAATGCTGATAGTACAAATGGTACTTAGATATGCTAGAATTCATGAAGATGATAGCGGATGATTAAATTTCCAAAAACAAAATGAAATAAACCTAGCCCGATACAATGTGCACACGAGAAAAGAGGCCCAGAGAGGGAAGGCCCCTCTTCAAGGCAGCACAGCCAAGTGGACCCAGGAGAGGCTGAGTGGGGTGAGGAGGGCCTGAGACAGGGGAGGACTGCGGGCCTAACTGGCTCAGTGTGTCTGTCCAAGGATGTCAGGTGGGGTCCTCTGACTGTCCTTGTTCCCACTGCTGTCCTCAGGATTGGAGGGAGGGGTAACTATTGGGGTTTGGCCTTGTTTATGGGGGGCATTGGAAGAGGTTACCAGGCCAGATGAACCTTTTCTTGTTCTGCCAAACTGAAGACTCCCCCTCCACTGTGAAAATAGCCCCTCCTGGGCACGTGTCCTTTCAGTGTCAAGTACCTTCAGGACATTGTCCCCTCTGAGCTCACTGCCATGTCAGTCACAGAACACCTCTCTCCTCCAGAATGGAGGCTGTAGACATTCACTCATTCCTTCTACAAACAGTGATGGGCTACCTGTGCCCAGCACTGTGTGGGTAATGGGGACACAGAGGCAGCACAGAGGCGACACTGACACCTGTCTAAATGCCCTGGGCTAGCATCCCTGCTTTACAGCCTCCTGGACTCTTGCTGGGGTGGAGAAATGCCATCTTCCTTTTCCTCAAAGCCCCTGTTTTATTTCCCTGTCTCCAGAGGCCTCGTTTATAAAAATGACTTTTTTTTTGTCGTAAGCAAGCTCCCTTCATGTTGGATTCTGATTTATTCTCATCTTCCTTCACCATTCAGAGGCAGATGGACCCTGAGCCTGCAACCACTCTGGGGCAATGGAAATGGCTCCGATTAGACGTTTTAAGAGTTGAAAACCATAACCCATGGATTCTGGCCTGTTTTACAGATGAAAAATCGTGGCTCAGACAGGGGGCATCTGGTTCATCCTCATATGACATTTACTGAGCACCTATTTTGGTGCTGGGTACTGAGGACCCTAGAGCAATAGGAGCCAGTGCCTGTTATGTTTGTCTCTATTGTTGCTGAAACAGATGATCACTCACACACTAGTAGCTTAAAGCAACATAAATGTATTATTTTGCAGTCCTATAGATCAGAAGTCCAAGACGAGTCTCACTGGGCTCAAATCAAGGTGTTGACAGGCTGAATTTCTTTCTGGAGACTCAATGGGAGAATCTGTTAGCTTGATTTTTCCAGCTTCTAGGAGCCACCCACCTTCCTCAGCTCTTCCTCTAAAAATATTTTGAAGCATCATCACACCTCTGATCCTGACTCTCGCCCTTCTGCACCCTCTTCTACTTTTGGGGGCCCTGGTGATTTGGATCCACCTGGATCATCCAGAATAATCTCTCTATTTTAAGACCAGCTAATTAGCAACATTTATTCCATCTACAACATTGATTCCTCTTGGCTATGTGAGGTAACATATTCACAGATTCAAGATTAGGGCATGGCATCTTTGGGGCCATTACTGTGTTTACCATCCTGTCCTCAGGGAGCCTGGAGTCCACTGAGGGAGAGAGCAATCAGTGTGGGAAGGACTTTGACAGGGCACCATCCAAGCCCAGAAAAGGGTACGACTGACCCATCTGGGGTGGTAGAGGGAGGCCAGAGAAATTCTTCTGGAAGATTTGAGGGCTGATCTGAGCCTTGAAGAATGAGAAGGGCTCAGTCAGGTGAAGAGGGATTGATAGTGGAAGGCATTCCCAGGAACGACATGTTCAAAGGCCCTGAGGCAAGAGAAAGAATGCATGTGTCATTGTGATGGAAGCACTAGAGAGGTCATGGGGCTGGGGTGAAGCTAGAGAGGTGCCCAGTGGTGAGACCATGAGGCTCTGAATGCCTGGAGGCTGGAGGCTTTCCTGAAGGTGGGGATAGCCTTTGAGGGTTTTGAGCAGAAGACTAATGAGGTTAGTTTTGCATTTGAGAAAGGCCACTCTGTGTTCATGGTAGAGTGGCTGGAAGAGAGGCCGACTGGGGGTTGTAAACCAGTGAGGAGGTGATTCACTGGAAGAGATGATGGAGGCCTGGAAGAAGGTAGGGGCAAAGCAGAGCAAGTAGTTGGTGAGCTGTGGAAGGCCAGAAGGCCATATGGGACATGGCTGTGGGGAGGCAGGAGGAGGGCCAGGGTGATGAGCAGATTTCTGGCCTAGGAGTCTGGCTGGATGGTGGTGCCAACACTGAGGTAGGGACACGAGAGGAGGAGTAGGTTTAGGAAGGTGCTGAGTTGGGTTTGATGTGTTGATGGTCTGTGCCTGATGGACATCTAAGGGAGGCATCCATGGGGCAGCTGGATATAGGCATCTGGAGCTCATATATCAACTGATACCAATTAGTTATTGCTGTGTATAAACCACCCCAAAACTCGGTGGTAAAAAACAGCAGTTACTTATTATTACTTACATGCCTGAATGTAGCCTGGGGCTTGTCTGATCCCGGCTGGGCTTCACTGATGGCTCAGCTTCAAGCTGCTGGTCTGCAGGTACACCAGATGGTGGGATTTAGGGATGCAACCTCTCCTTTCCCTCTGCCCCTGACCTGAATGCCTCCCTTCCCCCATTCCTCCACTCCACCTTGGACCAGTGGATGGCATTTGAAGAAAGATCTGTAGGAAGTGAGGAAATAAGCACGTCTTGAGGAAGAGTATTCTAGGCAGAGGAACAGCCAGTGCAAAGGCCCTGAGATGAGATGGTGCCTGGTGTCTTTGAGGAACAGAAAAGAGGCCGGTGTAGCAGGGGGAGTGGGTGGGAGAGGAGTCACAGAGTTCATTCGGGCCTTAGTCATATGGGGCCTGGAAGGTCATGGGAAATGGCCTCTACCCTTATTATTACTGCTACTATCCTTTTCATCCTCTCCTCCTATCCCCCGCAGGACCCCCCATCTCTGGACGCAGCCATCCAGCATGCCTTGGCAGGCCTATATCCCCCTTTTGAGGCTACTGCGCCCACCATCCTGGGGCAGGTGTTCCGTCTCCTGGATTCTGACTTCCGGGGGGATGGGCTGAGCTTCCTCCTGGATTTCCTGATACCTGCCAAGCGCCTGTGTGAACAAGTTCGGGAAGCAGCCTGTGTAAGTTGGAAGGGACACGGGGCTGGGGACAAGCTCTCCCAGAAGCCACAGGGCTGGTGCTGAACAAGGAAAGAAGTGGGCTGGTGTTCATCTTGTCTCAGAGGAAGAACTGAGGGTGTGGGATGGTTTTCCAGGTATCATTGCGCTCCCAAAGGGAGACATTAGCCATTCCCACCCAATGGAGCAGGAAGTCCACATCTAGAAGTCAATCCTGTTTCCCTTTCATTAGCAGGGAGGAAGGCCTGGATAAAAGACATTCTTGTAGGTTTTCTTGTCCCTGGGAGCCTGACCCGGGCTGGCATTATGGGCATCACCAGCCTGCCTTGGCTGAAGTGGGGCAGCCTGCTGCTTCAATGGAAATAGCAGAGAATGTTCTAGATCTTCCCTGGAGCCCTTGATGCCTCTGGACTCTTTCTTCCCCGGAGACCCCTTCAAACCCAGATCTCATGGAGGCCTCTCCTGAGGCAAAGTGGAAAGAAAAGTGTTTTAGGCAAGACTCATTGACTGTAAATGACAGATCTTTACTCAGACAGGGTCAGGGTGATCCAGTCTCAGACTCGAGATGATCCACCAATTGAACTGTTAAGGACCCTTTCTGTCTCTTGTCTCTGCTTCTTGCTTGCCAGCATCATTCTTACAGGCTAGGTGTTCCTGCGAGGCTGGACTGGGCAGCTCTGGGATCAAATCCTACCCTGGAGAGGAAAATGAACTCTGCAGATAGACAAATTGCAAGGAAAGATCCTGATTGGCCAGGCTTTGGTCCTATATCCAGCCCTGGACCAATCACCGCAGCCAGAGGAATGGGATACAGGACTGGCCAGGCTTGAATCACATGTCTACCTCTATGGTCAGAGGGTGGAGACTGTTTTAAGAAAAGGGTGGAGAGAGGCCTTTGGAGGCCGGATCCTCAGATGCCCACTGCCGGAACTCACCAACCCCTTCACAGGGTTGCCAACTGTGCCCTGTTCTGCTGTTAGTTATTACCCATGCCCCCTGCTGCTCCAGCCGCGGGAATCAACAAGAGGTTCATAGACCCCACCAGCCTTTCCTGAGTGGCTCGTGCTTGCCGGGACGTCAGGAACAAAAAGTAAGGGTAGGGACTGTGTGCATCATTTCAGTGGTAGAAAAGAACTGAATGCTGCAGCTAAAAGTTCTGGTTTAGGAGCCAGAACTCGAGATGGCTGGAACTGCAAGGAAACAGATAATTCGTGTGATGTGCTCAGCACAGTGGCGGGCACATGGCAGCAGCTCCATACACATCAGGCGTAACTGCAGGAGAAGGAAGACTCTCACAGAAACATTTGCGGCCAACTTCTCCATGTCCATGCGGACATGATTTCATACACAACTTTCCTCATCCTAATTTCTTCCGCAGGACAAGCTACGCAACTGCTTGCTTCCTTTTTTTGGCCATTAAAACTGCATGTGCGCTGTCGCCTTCCCATTTTTCCCGGAGAAGGGTTACAGCCTTTTGATTTCTTTATTTTTAAGTATGGGTGACTCGAACTGAATTGTAATTGTAGGTGGATTTGTATCACCACAGCGCAGGGGATGGAATGAACAGTAGGGCCTCAGGAGTCAGGTGCCCACGTTCAAATCCAGGCTCCCTCACAGTGAAGTTGGGGGATCTACGTCACCCTCTCTGAGGTTCAGTTTTCTTCGGTATTGTCTCAGCACCTACCTCACAGAGACGGCACCTGCCACGCAGCAAAGAGCCTGGCGCAGCAAGTGCTCAGTAGCTGGGGGTTGTTACTCTCCCACTTTCCTCCTTCTCCCTCTGAGATGAGTGCCAGCCTCAGAATCTGCCTTTGTCACCACAAGCCCCCAGAGGCAGCCAGCCACCCTCTCATGAAGTCTAGCGGGGATCAGGGCTGGACACAGGTGGCAGGATGTGAAAGTCCAGGCAAAAGTCCTGCTTCTGCTGCTTATCAGCTGAGTGACTATAAGCCAGTTCTTTCACCTCTTGGAGCTTCAGTTTTCTCATCTGCAAAGTGGGAACAATAACACCCAAACTCTGAATTTCTCCATCTGCAAGAACCAAATATCTGTGAGAGTCAACTCGTCCATAAGATGATCATCTCTATTTGCAAAATACCTCGGGGCTGTTCTGTCTCATTCAACGAGAAGATCATAATAGCAGGGGGCTAAATGCAAGGGATGGACTAACTTGGACTCTTGGGGTTAAGGGGTGTGAAGGTTCTCCTAGGGAGCCAAGTCTACAGTGCAATGGACAGCAACTGGTTTTTTGTCAAGTTGGGGGATGCAAGTGTGGTCAGTTCTTATTATTTCCTCAATTAATAATTACAGGAAACACCTGCTAAATTGGTAGGAAGTTCAATGCTGCTCTCTGGAGGTCTCCCACACACACATCCAAATGATATAAGATTATCTGGGGTTTCTGCAGTCCACAGGAGTAGGACTGCCAAAAGGCAGGTGGAGAAAGACCTGTTGGCAGTCCAGGGGAGCTGCTATTCCTGCTGTTGACACATGTGTTGGGGGTCACTGGTGAACACTGGTCCTGCACAGCCCGGTGGAGAGGCTGAGCTAAGCAATCAATCATGTCCATCTCTCACTGTGGTGGGGCTTGCTCCAGGACGACTTGCTGTGTCGACCTATACAGAGAGTTGCCAGCACCTTCTGTTGAAAAATAATTTTTTTTAAGCTTTGCCTCATCTGCTATGTTGTTGCCCAGTGATGGGAAATACATAAGTAAATAATAACCAGTTAGATAATAAACATTCAAGTCCAGAATAGTGGAGTGACTTTCTCAAGGTCATCCACCAGGAAGTTAGTGGCAGGGTCCAGATCTTCTGACTTCTCCCTCCGTATAGTTTCTATTTCACTGTAATCTGCCTACTTAACCATTAGAAAATGGTATAAAAGCAGTAAGTGACCTTTTTATTTTTTAATCAAAAATCCCCACAATCTTTCAAAGGATAAATGTTAGAGAGAGACAGAATTCATTATTATTGAACATCCACTTAGTGTATGCCAGGCATTGTCGTGGTGGTGTTTTGCATATACATATATAGCATCTCATTTAATCCTCATAGTGAAACATATTATTATTCCTATTTGGAGATAGAGAAGCTGAGGCTCAAAGCAGTTATGTAATTTGTACAAATTAGCCATTCAGATGGTGGAACCCATGTCTTCCTGGTTTTAAAATGGAAGGCTCAGGCTGGAGCTGGATACATGTGGAGGAGAGGGGGCCGCAAGCCAGGCAAGATGATCCTTGCGGGAAAAGTACTTGTTAACTAGTGCCCTGCGCTCAGAGCTTTTCTTCCATAAGCCAGTAGGTTGGCAAGTATATTCAAGGTCAGGGCCAGGACTAGGGTGAGGCCAGAGAGGCATGGGAGTTGCAGCATTTAAGGAGGCATCCACTCTCCTGGTCGTGTGACTTGTGGGACCCTGAGAGTAGGGCCTCCTTAGATGTTCTTGCAGGACCCTCTTGCCCCATTCCCATCCCTGACCTACTGGATTCCATCTGGGAGAGGGAAGGAGGCCGACCCACGGGCAGGGTCTTTCGGGTCCTTTGACACCATCCCCTTCTCTCTGCAGGCCCCGTATGCACACTGCCTCTTCCTGCATGAAGGCTGGCCCTTGTGCCTGCGGGATGAGGTCGTGGTCCACCTGGCACCCCTCAACCCCCTCCTATTGCGCCAGGGTGATTTCTACCTCCAAGTTGAGCCCCGGGAGGAGCAGTCCGTCTGCATCACGATCAAGTGCCTCTCCCTGGACCTGCGAACAGTGGATGCAAAGCCTGTCGCCGTGTCCTCCTACCCTCTCCTTTTCACTCAAGCATGGTTGGAGGTCATCAACAGTGACTTTGAGGGAAGTCCCCTACAACACTGCCTGGTGGCTTCAGAAGATGGGATCACCTCTGTGCCCTGGACCAAGATAACCAGCCCAGAGTTTGTGGATGACAGACCCCTAACAGTGGATGTCCTCTCCCCAGCCTGGGAGTCCCTTCAATTAGAGGCACTCAATTCAAGCAGCCCTCAGGAGCTGTTCCAGGTCAGGTCCCCAGACAGCCAGGTGCTCCTTTCCCAGAGCCTGACCAAGAGGAAGGGCAGGAAATGTGGGAGCAAGTACCCAGGACTCATCAAAGTGGAGCAAGCCAGGCCTGGGATGAACGATGAGGCCAGCAAGGACTTGGAGGGAGACTATGTGGCTCTCCTGGACTTTTCCCAAGAGAGCAGAGGAGGATCTCCCAGTAGGGAGGTGGAGACATCCAGTGGGTGTCCTTTTGGGGCACTGGAGGAGTTATCCAGCACTAAGGAAATGCTTCTCTCTCAAAGAATGCTGCCTCTCTCGGGGGCCGGTGGGGAACCTTCCTTGGAAAAATGGACTTGTGCAAAGCCTTGCTTTCTGGGCTTGGGGAGAAAAGTCAACCATAAAGCTCCCACCCATGACTCAAAAAGCCAGTCCCAAGAGCCCTACCTCGATGTCCTTGAGCACCCACCGCCCTGTACCTCTGGCCTTGGGACAAGTGTCTCAGATGAGCCATCTGCCTCCAAGATGCAGGGACCTCTGGAAACTCCAGAGAATATGGTCCAGCCCAGGCCTGGACTGGGACAAGCACCCTGTCCCTGCCCGTGCCCAGCTTCTCATGCTGCTCCTGCCCCTGACCCCGGGGAGGGAGAGGGGGCCAAACACAGGAACAGGAGGCTTCCCAAGCCTGTGACTCTCTCCGGTCAAAACACCCCCACTTCCAGATCGCCCACTCCTGGCCTCAAATTCTCATTCTTGAAAGAGCAGCGGCGAGTCCCCGTGCCCCCAGAGAAAGCCTCACTCCAGCAAGACAGGCCTTGGAAAGGCCTGTGCTCCCTTTACTCTCCCAAACCCAGCAGAGCCAAGCCCTTGGGGAAAGGTAAGGTGCCCACTCGCTCAGTTGGGCAAGGGAACTGGTCTCTGATGTGACTGGGTGACAGGGTGGCACAGGCTGTCAGGGACAAAGACTCACCCTAGCTGCTCGGTCTCTGGGGTTTTAGTGCACAGGGTGGCATGTCAAGAGGCTTGATGTCTCACCGGAACTGAGCAAGGTGCCATGACTGGGTTAAGATGGCAGGGTCCACACCCTACCTACTCAGCACACACTGGCTGGGGCACCCTGGTCCAGGACATAGCCTCTTTAAGTCAGGGCCCCCCGCCTCTGCGCCATGGGGTCTCACCTGCCTCATAGAGCTGTTTGGAGGTTCAGAGACATACCAGAAGTAAGGAGCTTAGCACAATGCCTGCCACATAGCAGCAGCTCAGAAGTTGTAAGCTATTATTATTCGCCAGAGGTGAAAGAAAATATCTGCCCTAGGAAAATCCATCTTCTGCTTAACACCCCTTTTCTTGTTGCTTTTCCACAGCTGTAAAGATTCAGACCAAAACATCTGGCCCCACTGCTGACTCAGGCCCACTGACTGGGGAAAATGCTGGCTTTCCAGAACCACCTACGAGCCCTCCAGAAAGAGACCTCACTCTGGATGAGGAGCCCCCAGGGCCAGAACCCAGGATTGGGGCTCTGAGGGTGGACATCTTCCACTCTGGAATAGCGTGCTTGCCAGGTCCCCAGGGGTGGTGGGGGAGGGGGAGGGGCTGGGGCAGGTGGCTGTGAAGGGCGGGGAGCTGGGGGTGAGGGTGGGAGGTCCCTGAGCATCCTCAGATGCAGGTGGGTGTGGAGGAGACAGGGAAAGTCCTGGGGGGCCCATCCTGGCTGGGCCATAGGTGACATGGGGAGACAGGATATTAGTTTGCTGGGACCACCACAGCAGAGTACCACAGACTGGGGGGCTTAAACAACAGAAGTTTGTTTCTCACAGTTCCGGGGACTAGAAGCCCAACATCAAGTTGTCTTGTGGGCTGGTTTTCTGAGGCTTCTCTCCTTGGCATGTAGGTGGCTGACTTTTCCAGGTGTCTTGACACAGTCTTCCCTCTGTGTGTCTGTGTCCAAATTCCCTCCTCTTATAAGGACAGCATCATGTTGGATTACGGTCCGCCCTGATGACCTTTTAACTTAAATACCTCTTTAATGATCCTGTCTCCAAATACAGTCACATTCTGAGGCACTTAGGGTTAGGACTTCAACAAAGGAATTTGGACTAGTGAGGCACAATACAGCCCACAGCATGAAGTGTCTGAAATAGGGCTGGAAGAGCATGCAGACCCTGCAGAGGCTTAAGTGCCAGGTCCAGAAGCAAGCTTGCATTTTGCCCTTGAGGCCATGAGGAGCCAGGAATCCTCAGGGGAGCAGCACCCCTGGAGCTATGGTTGAGCTCAGTCATCAGGTTTGCAGCCGGACAAAAGCTCTTCTCTTGATGTGGCCCAGGGTCAAGGGCTGAATTAAGCGTGATCCCCACCCACACTGGTAGGTGAGAGACCTGGGTCTGTGGGAGACTGGGAAGCTGCTCCCCCCAATTCCACAGTTTCCTTATCAATAAAATGGGTCCAGGGATATGACGCAGTATTTCCCAACTTGAGGGACACCCAATGGCTGTGAGAAATCTCAGAAGAACAAGGACAAACGTCTCCAACTTTGCAAATTAGGTAGTTTTTCATGGTTAATTATTTCATGTTTTTTGACTTTCTATTATGAAAAAGTTCAAACTTACAGAAAAGAAGAGATTATAGTATAATGGACACTCAGATTTAATAAATCTTAACATTTGGCATAAAGTAAAGATCTTCATATTTTACCCCTAAATACATCAGCATGTGTCTCTTAACTGTAAAGAGATTTTCCCTAGTGACCATGATACCATTAGCATACCTAACAGAAATAAAAATAATTCATAATACAACTCAATACACAGTTCATATTTACATTTCCCATACTATCCCCTTAAAAATGTTTTCCCTTTTGAAATTTATGAATGGATGCTAGGAAAAATCAAATCCATGATCTTAAGAGGATATAAAGTTATATATACACACATAAATGTACATATTTTTAAATTATGTTAAATTTTCAAATACACATGGAAGAAAGAATGTTCCAGAAGGTTGTGCCCTTCTGTAAGGCAGCACTTATGAAGGTGGTTAAATTTGTCCAAGACGCCATGAGGGTCTCACACAGTTACACACTGCAGAGGATTGTGGCCACACGGAATGGTGGCAGTCACTGCAGCACAGCCCTGCGTGAGGTGGCCCTGGAGGACAGGACTCCAAGCCCAGGGTGTGCGACAGGCCCAGTTTCTAGAGGACTGGGACTCTTTTTCCCCACTGTCCTTCCCCCTTCCCCTCAGTGCAGCCAGGCTGTGCTGACTCCCTGGACCCTGGACTCTTGACCCCTGTGGGGAGCGTGGGGCACACAGTCCTGATTCCTGGCACAGGAAACAGTCGGTGGAGAGCCCAGAGCTGAACATCTGCAAGACTGAATAGTGAGCTGGTGGCCGTGGGCTGCACACTTCCCATGCAGGGGCCAGAGACAAGGACAGAGATGATCTTTGTAACAACTGCTGTTCATTGAGCCCTCGCCATGTCTGTGCTGCTAAGTAAATGTCTCATTTAGTCCTTGAAATAAGCTAATATTATTTCAATATTTTATTCTCACTGTTTAACAGACAAGGAGACGGAGGCTCAGAGACACACTGACTTGGCCAAGGATGCACAGCGAGTCAGTGTAGAGCTGGGACTTGAACCCGTCTCTGTGATCCCAAAGCTCATTCCATGGGCTTTGCCTCCCTGGGCACCTTGTACAGAGCGAAACCGGAGGAGGACTCTCTGAGGCTATATGAGTCTTCCTGGAGGAGGGATTCGGGACAACTTTTCTGAAGCAGTGGGTTTTGAACTGGGTCTTGAAGGATGACTAACAGTTCAGATTTCACAGGAGAGAGAGGGCATTCCAGGCAGAAGGACCAGTAGGGGCAAAAGCCTGGAGGCCATAGAGCAGATTCCCATGAAAGGGCTTCACCAAAGTGCTCACAGCTCATCTCTGTCCTCTCTCCTCCAGGTGGTCGGGACAGGGTGGGGCGGCCCCTGCTTCTGGTGTCAACCACCCAGGGGGCCTGGGATGCGCCGTGGTGCACAGCCTCAGAGGTCGCCAAGCTGCTGTCCTACCTGTGCACTGTCCCCAGGTAAGGGACTGGGCTGGCCGGACACTCCATCTCCCCTCAACCTCTTGGCCCAGAGCCCAGGACAAGACACTCAGTGGAGAGACATCATATCCTTCCACCCAGTCTCCTATTCCCCGGGCCAGTCCCAAGACAACTGCTGGGGGGAAAGCGGGACAGACTTAGTCCCTGCCACCAGGGGGTACCCAGGGCTGGTAGAGGAGACAGACATTGTGCAAGAAACAAACTATGGACCAAGCAACTCTCAGGAGTGTTAGGGAGTGAAGAAAACAGTGGAATGTTGTAGCTCAGTGGTTCTCAAACTGGAGGGTGCATCAGAATCATCTGGAAGCCTGTTAAAACAGATCACTGGACACCCCCCTCCCCACCCCAGTGTTTCTAATTCAGATCTGGTGTGGGGCCTGAGCATTTGCTTTTCTAGCAAGTTTCCTGGTGATACTGATGGCATCGACAGGGGATGCATTTTGAGAACCCCTTTTTGCAAAGTGAGAAAGGTGGTGGAAATAATTTCAACTGGAAATCAGGGAGTACTTCCCCGAGAAGGTGATAATTGAGGGGGCATCTGAATTATAAAAATTTGTTGAACAAATCAAGGGTGAATGAGTGAATAAATGAATGAGTGAGAGAGTGAAAGAAACAATGGGTGAGTCAGCGAGTGAATGACAAGTGACCCAGGCTGATTTCTGACACTCTCCCGCAGACCCCTACCACCATTCGGACCCCCTGATATACTAGCTGGGGAAGAGCCACCACTTTTTCCTCTGAGTCCCAGCGCCCAGCAAGGCGGTGTCAGATGTGGTGTTTGCCCCGGACTGTGACTGTAGACCCCAACCGAGGTTCCTCTGCTAGGGGCAGGGGGTGAGGGACTGTTGGAGCCCTCCACCCCACGGGAGCCATCGCTGCCACCTGCTGGCCACTAAGATTTTTCTTCCCTTTACCCAAGGTGGAGTGGCTTTTCTGGCTTCAGGGGATATGGGACCCCCTTTCCGTACTGAGAAATGGCCAGTGCGGTGGACCGAGCTCTGGAATCCCACCAACTTGCTGTGTGGCCTTGGGGCAGTAATGTGCCTCCTCTGTGCGGCTCACCAGAGGAAAGCGCATAACCGAGTGGGCTCTGAGGACCAAGTGCGGCCATGAGAGGAGGGGGGCGCCGTGTGAACCGGGAGTGTGCTGTGAGAGGGGCCCTGGTGTGCTGGGCTTGCCTTTCCACTCTTGCTTTGAACCGACTTGCTGGGCACCTGCTCTGGGCCCGGCTAGAGACCCAAATACCCCTCACATCGGACCCTGACCTGTTTGGACCACAAACCACTTGCCAGCATGCACATAGCCAGAGGCAGGGAAGGTGTGGGACATGAAGTCAGACCTGCTGTCACGTCCGAGAACCGCCTCTCACTGTTTGCCACATCGCCACCCTGTGCCTCAGTTTCCCCTCCTGGGATAGCACAAATAGCAGATGTTTATAGCCCTCTTGCTCTGCGATGTCACTGAGTGCTTCACAGTAATGAAGTCATCGGTCCTCACCACAGCCCTGTGCGACTGATACTATTATTATTATCCCCATTTACAGATGGGGAAACTGACTCCCAAAAAGATGAAATGAGTTCCCCAGGTGACCAGGTACTATGGCAGTGCCTCAACTCCAACCCCACTCTGGCCACCTGTGGTTTTACCTATGATCGGGCTCGTTGTAAGGCTTGAAGGCAGTTGGGTATTTTTTCCCAATGTGCCTGGTCTTTGGAATGGCCAAGGCCACCTGAAACCACGCCTTGGCCCCGCCCCGTACATGCTGGCCAGATGTCTGCAGGGATGCGAGTATGTGAGGAATAAGTATTTCAACAAGTCCTGGCAGTCCGGGACATCCTAAGGTAGTCACTGAAAAGTGCAGCATGAACCTAAACCAGTGAGGGTGTTTCGGCTGCAAGTAACCAATTCCAATTCAAAATGTCTCAACCAGTAAGGAAATTCAATTTTCTATGTCTCTGCGTTATATCTCTTTGTAAGAACTATTTAAAAGAGGAAATGTCTTTCCCAGAAGTCCCCCAGCAAACTTCCCTTCACAGCACATTGGTCAGAAATATGTCATATGACTGCTATCTAGAGCCATCATTGGCCAAAGGAATTGAGTCACTACTGGCTTCAACCAGTTAGAAACCAGCCTCTCACGGAGGAAGGCGTATTATTTTGAGGGAACTGGGTTTTTTAACAAAGTAAGAGTTCTGCCCACACAAAAGGGGTGGGTGAATGGTGGGTAATTCACCCATTGCAATTGCTTATCGCTTCTGATTATTAGGCTGTAAGACAGGGCTGTGTGAAGTACTGTGGAAGCACCAGTGGGAGGGAGCAATGGACTCTGCCTGGAGAAGAATCTTGGAGGGCTTCCTGGAAGGGGGGTGGTAGGCATTGGAACGTGGTCTTGCAGGATAAAGTATGCATCAGTAATTTAAGGATTCTGGCAGCCAGTGTTCCTCTACTAGGTGCTTCCCCCCGGGACAGCCCAGTCCATCCAGCAACCCTGCCAATTCTGTTTACCACCCACAGGTCTGAAGATAAAGCCAAGGGGCTGGTGGTGGTGATTGATGCCAGGAAACAGCCCGCGCACCCTGGTCTGGTCAGTGCCCTGCAGGCTACCCAGGTGAGTGGGAGGTGGACAGCCTCAGCCAGCAAGTCTTGGGAGCACCAGGGGCTTGGTGACATTCTCAGAGCCCCGGGAGCTCAGAGCTAGGACCAGAGCCCTCAGGCAGGGACTCTTGGTTGCAGCTAGCAGAAAACCTGGGCAAATAGCCTTCAGGACAAAGGGAGTTCATTGCCTCAAATTACCCGACTGTCCGGGACTTAAATCCACTTTCAAGTATGGCTTGATTCTGGGGCCAAATATTGTCACCAAGACCCGGGCCCCCTCTCCATTTCTGGCCCTGCTCCAGGACGGTGCTTTTCTCAGCCAGGCCCCCTGTCAGGGTGCAGTTTAGATCCTGGTAGCTCTAACTGCTCATGGTCTTTCCTTTGAGTCCAGTAGGAAGGAGTGAGAGATTCTTTTCCCAAAGTCCCTAGCCAACGCTTCTTTCTCTCCTGAGCCCCGATTGGCTCAGGTGTCCACCCGTCAGCCGATCTCTATAGCCAGGGACTGCAACACACTGGTTGGACTAGACTGACTGAATGGGAAAGGAGGGAAGAGATTCCTCACTAGCTGGGCAGCAGAGGAAATGGAAGTTTGGCACATGTCTACTTCCTGGTCTGATCCTCTCCTCCCTGTATAGATGGGGAAACGGAAGCCCAGGGAGGGCAGGCCATCCAGGAAGTTTGCTGCACAGCTTGAACCTGCTGCTCTGTTGACTCACCCTCCAAACATAGCACGCAAAGATCCTCCCGCCCTGTCTCCGGGGCCCATTTGCCTGCATCTTAGCAGGAGGCTCAGCGAAGGCCCAGACAGAGCAGCTCTGAAATGCTTCTCTCGGACAGGCTCTGGTCCCAGCCGCCATCCGTACCGTGCTCTACCTGGGGGAGAAGGAGGCTGCTCTCCAGCTGGAAGCGTTACCTGACACCCAGGTGAGGGGGAGGCAGCGTCCACAGAGGCGGAGAGGAGTTGTTGGCTTGAGCTGAGCTGGGGTGAAGAATTGCAGAATTCATGAGCTAGGAGAGGCCCTGAGCAATCTAGCGGTCAATAAATGCAAGCCTGGATGCTACAGCTCTCCAGCCTGCCTCTGTGGCAGGCACTGCCAAATCATCACAGAATTATTTCTCTCTGGCAATCCTAGCAACTCCTAGTGGGCACTGCCATGTGAGTGAAAGCTGCGTATGGCTTGAAGCCTACCTGAAAAGCTTCGTGTAATCAACCCTTGTTCTTTTCAGATGAGGAAACTGAGGCCCAAGGCCACATGCAAGCTAGAGGCAGAGGTACCTTTTCTGCACTGTGGCCCTGATCTTCCTATATTTCTCTCCCTAGTTTCAACTCAGATGCTGAGTTGGTTCAGGACTTGACAAGGAAAGAGCCCTGAGGCTCCTTTAATTAGTGTCATGGACCACAGTCCTGAGCGTGGGCATGCTGCCCTCTACTCTGCTTTAGGAAATGATTTTAAAGGTCTCCTTCCTCTGTTAGTAAAGGGATACATTGTGAGCTAGACATGTGCCTACAAACCACTTGGAGATTTCATCAAAGTTCAGGCTCTGATTAAGTAGTTCTAGATGGGGCCTGGGAGTTCTAACATTCTCCTGCTGGTCCATGGACCACACTTGGAGTACCGGGGATAACAAATGGGTCCAAAACAACCACAACATCCAATCCCAGGGTTAGATATCTGGAGCTGTTTCTAGCATAAACCTCAGACTTCACTGCTGGGGAGAAGCAGTCACCTAGACCATCCTCCCCATGTCTTAGTGCATACTGTCAGGCTTTGGTGACCTTTCTCATTAGCCCCAAAAAAGAAGACAGAACCTTGGTGGAACAGTACAAGAATTACAAAGAAATTACTTGACAAGGGTCAGTTTCAATCAGTCTGTATGATTGCCTAGAGGACTGCGCTGGGAAAGAGCCCAGCTCAGAGGCAGCAAGTGCTGTGATTGATTAATGATGTCTGCCTTTTGGACACAGGCTTAGAAAGTAAAAGTTCGAGTGCTATTTATTTGACATTCCTTACCCAGGGTCTGGTTCTGAATTTTTATTTGTCAGAGTTTCCAGAGAAGATCCCTTGCCCAGAAAGCAACTCTGAAAACCAGAGCCAGTCTTACCTGTGGGAGGTGGAGTGGTGCCAGGGCAGGCATCTAGGCAGGACCTTCTCAAACGTCTGTCCCCACGCTGAGTCCACTGGCCCTCCTGACTTACTTTTTTTGTGTGCAGGTAGAAGTGCTGACATCACTGAAGTCCCTCAGCCACCATGTGGACCCCAGCCAGCTGCCCACAGCCCTGGAAGGCCCCTTCCCCTACTGCCACAGCGAGTGGGTGCAATTCTTCCAGGTGTCTACCATCATAGCCTTTGGCCCCATACCCTCACTCTTTCTCTTCCTCCCTTCACCCTCCTGCCCAATAAATCCATTGACCCTGTCAGGTTCAAAAACAGTCATTCAACAAACCTTTATAATGAGGGTGCAGAGTGAAGTGATTAAGAGCTCAGGCTCTGGGGCTGGGCTGCCTGGGTTCCAATCCCAACTCTGCTGTGTGCCCTTGGGTAAGTTATATACGTTCTTTGAACCCTTTTCCTAACTGCAAAATAGGAGGCAATAATAGTACCTGCTCATGGGGCTGCTGTGAGGATTAATTGAGTTAAGGTGGGTAGGGAGCTTAGAAGAGAGTCTGGCACATGCTAAGAGCTCTGTCTGTGTTATGAAAATAAATTTAGTCCTCTGCTCTGTGGACTCACCCTGCCCGGGAGCTCAGGGCCTGGTGGGGGGGACAGATGCCCTCCCTCCTGCAAGAAGGAGGAAATAAGGAGACGGCCAGTGCTGGACTCCTGCCCTGTGTGCTTCCAGTCTCTCTGCACCACAACCTGCTGGGGGCAGTTTAACATGAGGACACACAGGACGGGGACTTGCACAATGGCTCCAAAAGATTATGGGCTTTAACAACAGCAAAACCAGTGCCCTTAAATGAGGGTCCAGGACTCTGTCTAACCAGCACTCTTCACACTGGGGCTGAGAGTTCTTTTTTGGGAGCTGTTTGATGCAGTGTAGCATGACTGGCACCATCCCGGCCTCTGCCCACTCTGACAGGAGCACCCCACAAATCATGGTGACCCATTGTGTTTGCAGACATTGCCAATGTCCCCTGGGGGACATGACCCCCGCTGAGAACCCCTGCGCTACACTAAGTCTAAGGCAGTGGTTTGCTTATTTGCTTTTTGTCTAGGGGTTCTTCTCTTTAAAACTGGGTCTGTCTTTGAGTAGGCAGTATGTTAAAATTCAAATGGAACAAAGGGTATATGCTGAAAAATCTTCTTTCCCATTTGTCCCTCAGGACCCCAGTTCCCCTCTGCAGAGGCCTCCAATTAATCCAGTGGCTTTTGAACTGTATTTTCACTTTAAAACCTTCCCTTTAAATGAAATCTTACAACAGACCCAAAATATAAAACTGGCAATGATGATGACCAATACTGTGTGCTGGGTGCTATTCTAAGTGCCTTGCACAAATGAACCTATTTAATCTCCACACAAATCTATAAGGCAGGAACTCCCGTGATCCCATTTTACAGAGGAGGAAGCAGAGGCACAGAAAGGTTAAGTAATTTGCCCAAGGTCTCAGAGCTAGTAAGTAGCGGAGCTGGGTCGAAGTGGGACCCAGCAAAGGGTGTGCCTCTAGCCCCGTCCTGCGTGTCCTCTTCCATCCCCTCCCCCAGGGTATCCCCGCTGGGCCGGAGAGCTCAGGCCTGTCTTCTTTCTTCTCACACTGTCATTCACAGCACCAGGGTGTCTCAGGGTGTGGCCCCTGGCTCAGCAGTGTCAGCATCACCTGGGGACTTGTTAGAAATGCATGTTCTCAGTCCCCCCCCAGAGGAACTAAATCAGGACCTCAGGAGTGGGACTCAGCATCTGGATTTTAACCAGCTTTCCAGGTGATTGTGTGGCAAGTAGGTCTGAGAACCGCTGCCTAATGCCCCTCCTGCATCCCTGGGATGGGGAAGCGCCCTCCTCTGGGCCCAGGCTGACACCCCCACTCTGGCCTTCCCTTCTGCAGAAGTTGGACCCTTTCCTTGCTGACCTCCACCAGGCCTCCTCCCTACTAACGGCTTCCATCAAGGTGTTTGAGAAGGGTGACCCCCCTGGAGGGGTGCAGGTGAGCCAGGAGCATGGGGTGGGGAGGCCACGCCACACCCCAGATTCCACAGACCAAGGCCTCAGCGAAGGGGACATACAGCTGGGCATGTGTCATCACCCCTGCTTTTAATTCATTTGCTCAACCAATATTTATTGGGCACTCTGTGTGTCACACCCTGGAGCCCCAGTCTGGGACATACCAACTTGTCCCTGCCCTCATGGCATTTATGGTGCAGTGGCAGAGGTAGTATTTAAAAAGTAAGCAAAGTGATGGATAAGTTGTTACGATTTGTGCCAGATGCTGTGAAGGTGGAACAGTACACTGTCATTGAGAATAACAGTGAAGGAGGGAGGGACTCCCTGAAGAGATGGTATTTAATTTGAGGCCTGAAGGATGAGAGGGAGCCTGCACTGAGAATAGAAGGGGACCTGTGCTCCAGACGAAGGGCAGACTTGTATGTGTGCAGACCCTGAGGTGGGATACGGTTGGGATGATCGGGGATAGCATGGAGGTCAGTGTAGTACCAAGTGAGTTGTGGGACGTGGGGAGGAGAAGGAGAGAGGAACTAGGGGATATTCTGGATCAGCAAAGGCTGGAGTTGGGTGGGAATTTGGTCCTGAACTGTTAGGAAAGCCACTGGAGAGCTTTAAGCAGAGGGATGATCAGACTGGCACTTTGAGAATCCTTCCAGCTGCTATGTGGAGAACAGACTGCATGGGGAGCTAGAATGCCACAGGGAGACAGTGTAGAAGCTAGGATGGGTGTCCTAGCAAGAGACTGTGGTGCTTGGACCAGTGGGTTGCCATGGCGATGAGAGGAGGAGTAGCTGGAGAAGATATTTACGAGATAGAAAAGAGAGACTTTCTGTAGGACCTTGAATGCCAAACTGGGGAAATTAAGAGTGACCTGGGTGTGAGGAGCCCTGGAAGGCTGTAGAGGGAGGTGGGTAGTTGGGCCTCAGGTTACTTCCCTGCACTGGCAGGAGGCCTCCACACGTCTGAGCAAGTCCAAGGAGCTGATGGAGGCTGTGCTGAGGGACCCAGGCCTGCTGGGCCTCCAGCGGGAAGGGGGAGGCACCCTGGCCTGGCTGCAGCAGGAAGCCAATAGGCTGGACTTCAATCCTGACGTCAGGTATGGACACCCAGTTTTCCTCCTCCGCCTCCACCCTGTTCCTTGGCCTGCTAGCATGGAGCTGGGGACCCATAAGACAGGCCCCTCAATATGCAATTGGGGGCATTTGCAGGGCCTGTATCCTGGGCTCAGGCCTTGGTAAGCTCCCTGTCTTTTCTCTGCTGCTCCTCCTTCAGCTCTGGCCACCTGCAGCCTGAGGTAGCATCAGAGAATGGCTCCTGCCTGTTTCTGGTCACCCTTATAGACCGTATTCTTTCTCTGATGCAGACAGCTGAGTCCCTTTAAGAACCCATCTCGTTTATTCCTCACCAGCACCTGTGAGCCCTACACCATCTGCATCTGGCTGATGTGTAACAGGCTCAGCAAAATGGAGTAACAGCTGGGCCATCGAGCACTGACCCCTGCACTGCCTTCCCCGCGGGCGTCTCCGCCTGGCCGGGAGGACCTCATGGTGTGTCAGGGGTCTCAGAGCTACAAAACAAAACACATAGATTCCTGGAAAGTACCAGATTTCTTTAACTTAGGGGTAGGAGTGGGCCAAAAATCAGTAACTAAATCAGCCAGTGTAAATTGGAAATTTTTAGTCTCCATTAGAACAAACGTGATTACAAAGTTTGCTTTGTATAAGCTTCTGGGAACAACATGCTTGCCTAACAAACACCTTAATAGAGCTTAGTGTGAGCACAGCATTGTTCTAAGGGCTTTACAAATATTAACTTGTTTAATTCCCACCCTTGGGGTGGGTCCTAGTATTATCCTTATTTTATTGTGGTAGAGCCTGAGGCTCAGAAAGCGGTTAAATGACTTGCCCAGGGTCACACAGCTGGGATGTGGTTGGGCCAGGACTTGAACCCAGGCAGCCCGGCCCAGAATCTTGAACACATCACCCTGAGCTGTGCCCACAGACAGATTCTGGCAGCCGTGGGACCTGGCACTGGGTGTGGTGGCGTCTCCTGTCCCTCACGCAGGCTGGTGGGGTGGCACTATCCTTCCCAGCATGTCCCCACCTCTTGTCCTCCATAGACCCTTCCGGACTGTTGGCCACCGGCGGCTCCACCAGGTGGCGCTGTGCCCCCACAGGAGCCGCTAGGCGCGTTTGTTTTGCCAGTGGGTCAGTGTAGCTCCGGCCTGCCGACCTTTCCTCCCTCCCTTGGCCAGGCAGGCTGGCATTTTCCATCCCGGGCACCCACCTATGCCCTCCCCACTTCCTGGGAGGACAGTGACCTGTGGAAATCTGCAGTGAGATGAGGAGGCCCAGAGCAAGGCTCCTCCAGGAAAGCAGGTTTCCTTCCATCTCCTCTTTTTCCTTTTTCTTCTGCAGTGAGACCCCCTAGGGCAAAGGAGGGTGGCATGGGGTTTAAGGGGTGTTTGGAAAGCCCCTGAGACCCCTCCCTTTACCCAGATGTCACCACGCTTGGAATCCCCTCTGCATTCCATCATTTATGTCTTGCTGGCTTTGACCATTTTTTTAAAAATTATGTGCAAGGAAAGCTGTGGACTGGATTCCAATTCAGGCTGCCATGCATGAGAGTCAGTTGCTCCCTCTGGACCTCAGTGTTCCAATCTGTAGGATGGAGGCCAAGAAAAGGGTGGGCTGGGGGTGAGGTTACAGTCGTTCACCATCGCTGCAATAGAAATAGTAAGCACGAACAAACGCTGAGTGCTTGCCACTGCGGCAAGTGTTCGGAATGTGTGAGGCCTGGTTCTCAGTCCTGGCTGCCTCCTGGAACCACCTAAGGAGCTAGGAAGCACTGACATCCAGGCTAGACTCAGCCTGACTCAGTTGGCCTGGGATGGGCTTGGGCATTGATATTTTTTAAGCTCCCACACTGGTTCTAATGTGCAGCCAGGGTTCAGAGCCAACATATTTGATCATTTAATCCTGGCAACCACTCTATGAAGGGGGTCCCATTACCCCCACTTTTCACAGACTGAAAAATGTAGGCACAGAAAGTTTGAGAAATTCGTGCAGTCTCATTACCAGAAGGTAGTAGGGCTGGGATTTGAACCCAGATTTGTGTGCCTTGGTTCATACCCTCCTATAAACTGAGGGAACAAGAGGGTCATTTGGTTTCCTGCTGTGTCCTCTGGTCTTTCCAGTTCCATGAAAGGCTAAAGCTGAGACCCAGAGAGGTATAGGGGCCTTCCCAGGGTCACACAGCAAGTAGGCGGTTGTAATACCCAGGCCAAGGTCCCAGAGTTGGGGGGAGTTGGGGGAACAGGCATATGCAGTGCAGGAGGACTGGGTGGGGGAGACCTTGGGCCTTCTCTCACCCTCCTTTGCCTCCCAGGAGCCGTCTGGCTGAAGCCACCACCCTGTATGGCCTTGTGGATGAGCAGCTGCATGTCCTGGTCGCTGCTTCCAACCACCTCCTGGGGAGGCTGGAGCTGCGCATTCGCCTGGGTCGTCTGGAAGCTGCCATGCACCAGGTGAAAGGAGAGGCTGGCCTGGGAGCTGGGGGCTTGGCTGGGCCCCTTTCTTGTGCCAGGCCTTGCCCAGCCATCAACTTTGCTCTGGTATAAGGACACAGGGGCCAGGCAGGCGTCACAGCACATGACATGGCACTCAGTAAGTGCCTAATGCGTGAAGACATAACCCTGCAAATTGCATTGATTGTGCCAAGGCCTGGGCCAGAGCTTCTGTGTATATCGTGACTTTCCAACTCATCACTTACCAGTGATGTGGGAAGATTCTAGGATTTCTCTCACTCATCAATGACAAAACTGAGGCTGGAGAATATTCTGTCACCTGCTTATGGTCACACGCCTGGGAATCTGATCCTGCAGGCCACACTTGGTGTCACTTTTCCGACTGCTGGTGCCTAGAACCAGTGCGTCCCTTCACTCTGGGCCATGGAGCACAGTGTGCCCAGAGCCAGACAGCCCGGCTTCTGATCCTTGCTCCAAGCACTTCTTAGTGGTGTGACCCTAGAAAGGTGACTTCACTATTCAGTGCATCAGTTTCCTCATCTGTTGAATGAGGGATAATATTAGTGCTGCCACTCTGGGCTTTGCGAGGATAGAGTACACACTCTTTAAGACATCCCTGAATAAGGAGACATCTGCCCACTGGTCAAGAGCTGTTTTTCTCCCTCTGTCCCTCATTGAATCATCATATGTACCCCATTTTGCCACTGAATAAACTGAGGCCCACATAGAGAAGTGGCTTGCCCAGCTGGCTCACAGCTGGTCCACATGCCCTGCCCCACAGCTGGCCGCTGTTTCTCCAGCACCGTTTGCCACTGACAGGATACTCACCACTCCTGAGCTCTTTTTATGATTGGGCAGCACTGAGTGGTTAGAATAAGCTAAAACTCACCACCCTGTGACTTCCTTCAGGCAAGTGTGCACTGAGGGCCTACTCTCTGCAGGGCACAGGGCGGCCACTGAATGAGGACAAGACCTCAGCTTCCAAGGAAGTTGGGGAGCTGGCCAAGGGACATCTCCCCAGCAGCCCCTCATGTCCAAACCTCCCTCCCCTGCCCCAGGTCAGCCACTGGATGGAGCAGGAAGGAAACCGGTGCCTGCAAGTACTGACCCCCAAGGGCGGAAGCTTGGAGACAGTAGAGAAAGCCCATGCAGAGTTTGAGGACTTCTTCCTTCAGGCTGCAGTGCGTTCCTAAAACTGAGGAGCAGGACCGGAGCCGATGGAGAGCGCAGCAGTGGGGGGCGGCAGTGTTAGGCCCAAGGTGTGGAGGTGGGAAAGAGCAAGAGAATTTCCAGAGACAGCGAGGAGACTAGTGTGGGTCCCAAAGTTCCAGTTGAATTTCTGTCTCCTCCAGGAAGCCTTCCTGGGCCACCAAGTCCAAAGATGACCTAACTCAGAGTCCCTGGAGGGTTTCTTAAAATGCAGATTCCAGGGCCCCATCCTAGACCTATTAAGTCAGCCTTAGAGAGCAGGGCAAGGATATCTGCATCCTTGATGACTCAGCCTTGGGACTTCCAACCCAGTGTGGGAAGCGGGTAGGGGACACACAGAAACAAACAGAAAGGGAGAACTGTGGAGACGCAAAGGAGGAGCCCCTAACTGGGACTCGGGGGAGTCTTAGAAGGAGCTGACACTAAGCAGAGTCCCAGCCAGGTAAAATGGATTACCTAGGTAGATGCCTGGGCGCTGCTTCCTAGATGAGGAAACTGAGGCTCAGAAAGTCTCATCACTCAGCATCAGGCCAGTGGGAGGCCCATGACTCAGTGGAGGTGGGCGCTGAGTGGATACCCCTCCACTCCTTGCTCAGGCCCAGTACCGCCGTGGCTTGGAGCTGTCCAAACAGGCAGGCCGACTGGGAGCCGCTGCTGGAGGGACCAGAGAGGCAGGAGGAACAGAACTCCCAGAGCTGGCAGCCTTTGCCTCCACCCAGAGGGCCTTCCAGGCTAAGCTGACCCACTTCTACATGGCAGCTGAGCGGCAGCGCACAGACCTGGAGACGCTGCTGTACCTGCACCACGTCTGCAAGAAGGTGAGCCTTGTGGCCTGCCTGCGCGGATGCCCTACTCTCTCCAGCTGGGAGGCAGGGTGGGGGCAGGGAGCAGCCTAGACACAGCCCTAGGCTCCGTGCGTGTTTCATTCAGCAGTCGGGTGGGAGGAGGGGGGCATCACCTGCATTCCCCAGAAGGGGAACAGGGTTTGAGAGGTTAAGGTACTCTTGCAAACTGGGTCCAGTGGATCTCGGACCCCAGCTTGTCCCACTTCACCAGGCAGCCTCCCAGAGACCCAGCATCAGCTCTCAAAGGAACCTAGAAATCACCTGCTTCTTAAATATTGGTATTTGGAGAAAAGCCTAGGGATTTCCAAGAATCTGATCAAAGCCATAGGCTTTCTCTCTATGCATAGATCTCTGCAGGCAACTTCATGGGCTCAAACCAGGCTAAGAATCTTGATCTTGTTCCACCCCTCTGTTGTAGAGTTGGAGAAATAGCATCAGAGAAGGGCTGTCACTTACCAAGGTCACACAGCACTATACTAGTGCTCTTTGCCATGCTTCTCCTTGCCCTGTACAGACGGCAGGAGCTGGAGAAGGAGGGGACAGTTAGCTGAGGATGGGCCCAGAAGCTGCTCTGGGCACCCTGAGAACAGATCAGCCCTCATGCAGGAGCCCAGGGTTTGGCCAGGAGGGTGGAGGATAGGGTGGGGCTACGGTGGGGGTGGGGGCAGTGCTGGGGCAGGAGGAACCCCATTGCTTTGCATCTCATTTCTTGGCCGATGTGGCAAGGTTGATCGGCCCCATTTTACAGATGAGGCCCTAAGGGAGGAAGAGCCTTGCTCAGGACACGCAATTGGGAGGAAAGAAGAGCTGGGATTTGGACTCAAATGTATCCACCCTCTATGCTCTTCTCCAAAGGTGGCAGAGGGACTGTCCCATGTCCAAGCAGGCATGATAATGGTGACAATGAAGAGGAGATGATTGTTAGGAGGGCAGCCCACATTTCCAACTGGGTACTCCATGCCAGACCCAAGCACTTCCCAAACCTTGTCTGATTCCATTTTCCCCATACCTTTTTGCAGGAGGGGTACCAACAATGTTTCCGTTTTACAGGTGAGGCCCAAAGAGGAAAGTGGCTTGCCCAAGGTTCCCCCAGGGGGCCAGTGCTCAAGCAGGATTTGACTTAAGAGCCCCCACCCCTCCTAAATCCATTTAGCCAAATCCCTCATTTTTCTGATAGGGAAACTGAGCCTTGGGTCAAGGGAGCAGCCTCAGAGAGCTGTAACCCAGATGGGACAAGAGCCCACTGTTTGTCCCCAGCCCAGTGGCCTCAGCTGCCCTCCCAAACTGAGGTCACAGTAGGGGGAAGAGGCTGACTCCAGCCTTCCAGCTATCAGCTGGCCCAGCACCCGGGACAGAGAACACAGGATGCTTCAGAGGGCAGTGAGAGGCACTCGGGTCAACCCACGCCTGGGGCACTGGCAGGACATGCCGCTCTGTCTTCTTGGGGCAGCAGACAGAGAAGCAGATGTGGGATGTGGCAGTGAAGGATCTCCCTACTGCCAGCTGTGCAGGAGAGAGCAAGGCAGTGGCAGGATCTGACAGGTGATCAGGGCTGTGTGACCTTGACAGCAGACTTGACCACTCTGGGCCTTAGCTCCTCATCAACAATAGCAATAACAATATAATAATCACCAGTGCTTGCACAGTTCTATGCGTCATAGCCTGTCCAGTCATTTCACCTTGTGTTTTAATTGTCACACCAACCCTATGGGGCAGGTACTATTACTGTGCCCATTTGGTGCATGAAGAAACACAGAGAGGTCAAATAACTCACCCAGGGTCACACAGCTAGGAGGTGACAGAGCTGAGAGTCAAACCCAGATCATCTGGCTCTTGCCAGTTATGACAGAATTAAATTAAATGCCAACCTTGTTGGGTAGTGAGAGAATTAAATGGAAGTAACCTTCCAAGCTTTGCTCAGATTTGGAGTTATTATTATTAACACCAAAATTATTATTAGGAGGAGGGGTAGCAGTAATGCCTCATGGGTAAAGGTGGCTGGAAGCTTCTCTCCCTTGCTTACTAACTTGAGCCAGTTTCAGCCTCATTGGCCTTCCAGGGGTGAAACAAACTTGCTCCAGCGCTGAGGTCTTTGCATGTGCTGTTCGCTCAGCTGGGACGCTCTTCCCCACAACCAGCTGGCGTCCTGTCTGTCTTCAGCGCTCAGCTCACCTGTCCCCTCCTCACAGAGGCGCTTCCTGGCCAGCCAGCTGCCTGTCCCGCATTCTCTCTCATCGCCTTGTTTTTATCGCTCCCTGGTGCTCATGCTGATCTGAAATGACCCTGCTGCTTCAGCACCTGCTCTCTGATCTGTCACCTGTGAGGTGAGTGCCCCTGCAGGGTCCTGGTCCCATCCAGAGTGCCGGGTGCAGGGTCAGCGCCTAGAGCAGGCCCAGGAAGCGCCGTGGGTGACCCGCCCAGTGAAGGGGGCATGAGTGAGGACTTGGGCAGAGGAAGGAAGCCTGAAGTGCACCTGGGAAGATGGAGTCCCACCCAGGCCTAGAAACCCCACAGGAGGTGGCAGCCCTGACCCTGAGGGCCGCCTTGGCCATCTCTCGCAGTTTGACCAGGCAGGCTCTTCTCTTTGGCGCTGAATTCGAATCCGCACAATGAGCCTGGCAAGATGATTTCTGAGGTGCTGTCCACCTCTGCCCAGCTCAGCCTGGAAGATTGAACCCCAGACAGACAGACAGACAGACAGACAGACAGTTCAGGGCTGGGCGCAGCCCTAGGTGCAGAGCAAGTGAGCAGCTTTGGCACTAAATAATGGTAACGCAATTGTGCCGCTAACGGAGATTTATGGAGCCCTTTCCCAGCCATGAGCTCCGTGAGCTTCCACGAATATGAAGCCATTTATCTAAAGACAAGTTCCCTTAATCCACGGAAAGATGGTTTCCTCGGAGAAAATGGTTCTCTAATCCCCACAACCTAACAGCTCGCTGTCGGTTCCTAAATTAATGGAGAGAAAGATTATGTTTTTCACAAACTGCTGGGAATATGTGGGCTCCTTTGCAGCCTGCAGACATCTTGTAGGTGAAGTGGGGACAGACAAAATCCCAAAATGGGGCAGAGAGGCTGGAGTGAGGGGACCTCTGGGCCTGGGTCGGCTGCTGTCTCACTGGTGACTGTGGGGGCACAGCCCTGCCGGAGCGTTTCTCCTGTGCAAGAAAGGAGGTGCTTGGAAGATAACCTTCTGTAAAGCTGGACAGGTCTGAGTTCAAATCCCAGCTCCTCCCTGACATGCAGCACGACCTGGGGCAAGTGATTTCATGTCTCTGAGCCTCACTTTCCTCCTCTGTAGAGGCTGCTGGTACAGTTCAGGGTGATCATGCATGAGATACACAGAGCCTGGCAAACAGTTGGTGCTCAGTAAACACTAGCCAGACTCTAACCTCAGCACCACTCCTAAAGGGTTAATACAATCCAAGAATCCAAATTTTCAGCTCTTGAAAGGCTCTTCATGATCATCTAGTACAACCTCCCATTTCACAGAAGGAGAAACTGAGTCCCAGAGAAGGGTAAGTCCTTGCCGGCGCCTTGGTCTTTCAGACTGTGCCTGAAGCCTCCAATGATACTGTTTCTTGGTGGCACGAGTGTGCGCCCCAGGGAGGAGAGAAACCATAGCCTTGGCTGTCAGTGGAGAAAATCTTGGCCACACTGAGGGGGGCCTAACATCAACTGGGCTGTTACTGCTATTCAGCCCAGCAATATTCACTCTTCAGGTCCTCTCTGCACTCAGACAGGTGCATCTCTGTCCTCATGGAGCCCCACATCCACTCCTACCCTGAGCTGCCACATCCCTCTCTTCTTGTCCCTCAGATGACCTGGTTCCACATGGACTGTCAGGACCTGATGGCCCAGCTCCAGCTGGGCAAGGCGCAGAGGGCCAGCCCTGGGGACCAGCGCCGCCTCTACCGCTACCTGCGGCGACTGGCGTCCGAGTTTCCTGCAGAGAAGCTCACAGCCATGGGGCTGCAGGTGGCTTCTCTGAGCCAGGAAGGCCTGGGCCAGGCCCTGTGGGAGGAGGCCCTGGGAAGGCACGAGGAGATCCAGACCCTCCTGAAGAAGGCATTGGCCCACTGCCCGTGCCCAGCGGGTCCCACTGCCCACTCGGCACACCTGGAGTTAAGAGGGGCAGCTGCCAAGGGCCAGGGTCTGAATGGAGCAGTCACTTCCAGGGGCAAGTGGGACCTGCCCCTCCAGGACTCACTAGGCCTGGATCGTTCACCAAAATCCCATTGGCCAACTCGGGCCCCCAGAGTAGGGCAGAGCAGGAATGTCCAGGCTAGCCCTCTGTCCCAGGAAGCAGGCCAGGCTGCAGAGGCTGGTGAAGGCAAAGGCCCTCAGAGGCCCCCTGCCCCTGAGCGTGTTCTCACCACCGTCTTCTCCTGGCAGAGGCTCCCCAGGCAGAGTCAGACCTCCTGCCCCACTGGGGGCAGTTTCTCCTCAGAGGGGACAGACTCACAGACGTCTCTGGAGGACTCACCCTAGACAAGTCCCCCTGCATCCCTCTAGCTGGAAGCCCCCACCAACTGCACCAGGCTCCAGGTCGGGTGGGCCCGGATACAGAGAGGGCTGGGGAGCCCTTGCCAGTCCTGTTAGGATGTGGTCCCTGAGAACGTGGCCTGTGCAGAGGTAATCTGCTCCCAGGTCTAGGAAACTCCAGGAAGACCCAACTCTCACACATTCAAAGTAGTGGGAGTGGAGGGGAGGGCAGGGTGCAATACAGTGTGGGGTTATAACCCCCGGTCTCACGGGGGAAAGAGCTGTTAGAACAGACCCTTCCAGAGGTCTTGGTCTTAGGCAGCCAGATGCCTACCTGGAGTTTGGGGGAACACAAGCTTCCCCTGGGGCATGAGGGTCACAGTGGTCCTCATCTGGAACCATGGGTGGCAAGGCAAGATGCTCCTTGTCTTAGGTCCCACAGAAACAGACCCCAGCCCAGGATTCGAGGGCACACTAATTTGGTGGTGATGCTAGGAACCACCGGAGGAGGAGAAGGGAGGTGAGTCTGGGAAGGGAATAAAGGGTGTGTGGTCAGGCAGATTCTGGCTTGCTGTTTATTTGCTGGCAGCATCAGCCTCAGACAAAGAGAATCATCTGCTGACAGCCAGTTGCATCCTCGGAAGGGGTAGGGGTGAGGGAACGTCTGCCATGGTCCCTGCTCTCTCTCACTGGCTCCTCCAACCCACAGGGGCCACCAGACTTAATTCAAGGAACCCCATGAGGTCTTGTCCTTGCGCTCCAGAGAGAATCCTCTCCCTGTCCCACATTCTGTCTTCTTCCCCTCCCCTCTGCACCTCCTCAGACTCTAATACTTCTACCCCTACAAGCCAGGTCCCCTTTAGGCAGAGCCTCTGCTGCCCAGCATAATAAGGCTCTGCTGGTGGTTTATGGGGCCAGGCAAGGGTAGGAAGCCAGGTCCCCTTCCAGCCCGTGGTTCAGGAGGATGAGGAGGTGGGGGGAGGGTGCCCTTACGCCTCTGATCTCAGAGTGTCCAGAAGACAACCGGCCCTTTGCAGTGCCCACACTAACTCCTGCCAGCACCTCCTCTCAGCCATTACGCTGAGAAAGCGTGCCCCGTCTCTGCCTTAGGATGCATTACCAAGGTGGTCTCTGGCAGCCCAGCCCTGGAATTTTCCTGGCTCTGGGAAGAGGGTGGGGCACACATCCTCCCACAGCTAAGGCTGTGGAAGGAGAGGAGGCAGGACTGGAGCAGATGGAGGAGGACAAACAGGGTTCCTCAGGACTCACGTTGGCAAAGAGCCACGCAAGCCAAGATGGCTTCAGGAATCTTCTAAGATTCAAGATTTGGTCAAGTGTGATTTGGGGCTTGTCTGTGTCAGAACCAAGCAGAGGTTATCAAAGGCAGCTTCTAGGATCCCACCCCAGATAATTAAAATCAGACGCTTGGGGCCCAGGGTGGCTTGAATGTGCATTTGTAACCAACTGCTCAGGGTTTCCCACGTGACACAGTAAGGTGGGCGGTGCTGTTGGGGAACACTTGAGGCTGGGGTCTAAGCTGGCCACCCACACCAAGCCAGCTTTGATTCTCACGTTTCACTCTCCTGCCTTCATCCAGACTGGCCTGAGGATGCAGGGAGCATTTGATCAGCCCATCCACCCATGCCTTTGCCTCAGAGAGGGGCTGAAGGCTCTGAAAATGCTGTTACCATAGCAACAGCATCCAGCCAGCAGGGACCACAGGCAGGGAGCCAGGGTACCTGGGGTGCAAGGATGGAAACTGACTTCTAAGAGGCTACAGCTATTGTGAGAGATGCAGGAGAGGGGGATGGATGACCCAAGAATTCTTGGGAAGCAGGAGTCTCCAAAGCCATCTTGTGCATCCCTCTGTCTTGAAAAAGAGACAAAGCTCAACAACTTGCTACTTACAGCAGCCCATGGGGGAGCAGGGTATGCAGAAATGAAATAAAATAATTAATAACAACATAGAAAAAGACTGAATAACAAATAATAGCTAACATGTATTCTGCCTTTTCTTTGTGCCTACCTAGTGTTAAGCCCTTTAAAAGCATTGCAAGGCTTGTTGAATTTGCACCACAATCCTGTGAATCCAATACTAATGTCACCCCATATTACTGAGGAGGAAACGGAGACATGGAGTTAGGTGCTGTCTTACCCAGTGTCACGAGGCAAGTGGCAGAGCTAGGACTTGACACAAGACTGATGCGACAGGCTCACCTTCGGACAAGCCTGGGCTGATTGCTTGCTCTGTGCTCTTCTCTCAGCAGTCCTTCTGTGCCTGGTGACTGCCATGTACCCAGGAGCCTTGGCTGGGCTGGGATTGGTCCTTTGAGTGGCCTGGTCTCCTACTGCACTCAAGACAGTGTGACAAAGTGGGCAGTCACATGGCTGCTGAGGCCCTGGGTTCTTGCCGAGGTTCCATGGCTCACAGACTCTAAGTCCTGGGCCAAGTTATGCTATCCTCACCTGAAAAATAATAGTATAATAATATGATAATAAAAAAATAATAATATAATAATAATATTGGTTTCCTCACCTGCAAAATAAGAATAATCAGACCTCAGAGGCTTGCTGTCAGTATGAAATGAGTTAACATGTGAAAACCCTTAGAAAGGTACCTGGAACATAGTAAGTGCCCATTAAATGGTATCCAGTATTATGCTTGGCACCAACCTGGCCAGGCCCTGCTTCCATTACCAGACATATCAAGGAAGAAGTTTCTCTAGAGGCCACTGCTCAATTCCCAAAGCTTTTTTTCTCATTTTGAATCATGTGGATTCCCTAATTAGTTTTCTGCGTCCCCAGGTTATCTCTCACAGGCTAGAAAGGGCCTGGCTTACTGACTTTTGCCCTAACCTCCCCAGGGTGGTGTCATGGTGCTGCCTCCCCCAGGAGATTCCCTTCTAGTGACATCATAACTGTGTGGTAGCAAAGCCTTAGCCCCTAAGAGGCTGCTCTGAGGATGCAGACGTACAGTGTCATGTTGTGGGGCTCTTAAAGTTTGCAGCCTGTTTTGGTGGGAAGAAAATGGGGCTGACAAGGACCCCCAGTCTGCCAGGGACATGATGATGAATATCCCACTGTGATGGGAGCCCCTTTTTCAAGCTCAAGGGGTGGTGGGAGGAGTATGGCTTGGAATTCAGGAATCTCAGGTGACACTTCTGCACGGTTGCTGGCTGCCTACAGAACGTGAGGTGGGTTGCCTCCTCTCTCTGACCCTCAGTTTACTGTATCTGTTTAGTTGGGTCACTGAAAGGATAAGGATTTTTCTCATCTTTGGAATCTGAGAGCCCTGCCTTTGAATCCAGGCTTAATAGCCTCATGAGTTTGAGCAGATGGCTGCCTCTCAGTTTTCCACATCTGTCCTTTGGGTGTGTCCTTTGTTTATTATCCTGCGGGGCCAGGATAATGAGACCTCTGGATCCCTGGGCTTCACACCAGGCCTTTTTCCTCTCCACAGACGTGGCCATCTTATGAAGGATCCAAGCCTTGTAGAAATCCACTGGGCAGAGGTTTGGGGCAGAGGTAGGACTGAGCCCAAATAGTTGAGGCATTTTTACAGTATACAAAGTTCTTTTTGTCCATCCATTTCCTTATCCGATATTCAACACAACCCTGAGGGCATCAAAGTCATACTCTAAGGTGTGTCCATTTTACAGAGGAGAAGCTTGGAGACTGGAGAGGGGAGGTGACTTGCCCAAGGTCACCCAGCAAGGGAAGGGGTAGAGAAGAGAAACCTCTGAATCTGGATCTAGTTCTGATCGATGTCAAATCCAGAGGAGCGGAAGAGTCTCCAGCTTGTCAGCCACTCTTGAGGTGGGTGCCCCTCACCCTTCTGACCCCAAATTTACCCACGCCAGACCCAGGGCAGCTCTCCTGGGTCAGGCCACAGGCTGCTCTCTTGAAAAAGACATGTTTTGTTCTCTGGGGACTGTGAACTGGCTTCCAGCCCAGGATAAACCCATCAGGCTCAAAACCCCACCTCCTCCCAGCCGAAAATGGCCCTCTGAGGCTGGAGCCTGTGGGCTTCCTGAAGAGCAAGTGCTCTGGCTCTGTGGCAGGACTCCTGGGGTCCCATCCCCTTCCATCTGGGGCATGATGGGGTCCCTGGGTGAACCACTGCACCTCCTCAGGCACCACTTTCTCCATCTGTGAAGTGGGAGATTGGCTCAGGCCAGGGACATCAAACTGGTGGCATCTGGCCCGTGGAACTGCTGCTCTGCTTCCCAGTCCCGCCTCCTCCTCTGTGCACCGACCATCCATCCAGGCTGGACACCTGCACGTTGTCCTTGAACTTCTCTACAGCCCCAGCCCTCCCTGCCACCAACCTCTAATCCACTTCTCTCTTCCTCCACTTTCCCCACTCTCATCCCAGTTTCCCTCCTCTCTCCCCTGGACGCTGTAACAGCATCCTCAATGGTCTTCCTACAGCCACTTGGGCCCCTTTCATCTGTCCACACAGGAAATAGAGGGGCCTTTGCAAAATATAAAATGATGTCAGTCCCTGCTTCATCCTGCCCAGTGGCTTCCCATGGCTCTCCAGATATAAACCCACTTTGGTATACAGAGATCTGTACTCAGGCCCCTGCCTGGCACTCTGGCCTCACCGTATTTCCTAACCTCACCGTATTTCCTAACCTCCATATTCTCTGAGTGCCAGCAACCCTGACTTCTTTTTAGTTCCCCACCCATTCCAAGCTCTTTCTGAGGTCAAGTTCCCTAGAAGCAGACATGCAGATGAGGATTCGGGTGCAGGTGATTTGCTGAAGAGGCAAGCATGAGAGAAACCAGGAAGGGCAGAGAGAGCAGGACAGGGAAAGGAAGGAAGCCAAGGTACAATTTCAGACCAAGAATCAGCCTCTGCCTGATCATACAGGGAACTCTGAAGGGTATCTTACACCCCCAAGATGCATGTTGCACTGAGCAGTGTCCAGTGCTGGAGGGCAGTCTTTGGAAGAGAGTTACAGGTGTGGACCCACAGAAGATAATATTTTATAACAAGAATATATAGAAAACTCTCAAAACTAAATAATAATGATGATGATGATAATAATAAATTAACTTAAAAATGGATAAAGGATCTGAATAGGCATTTCTTCAAAGAAGATACACAGGATACCAATAAGCATTTTGACAAGATGCTCAGTATCATTAGCTGTCAGGGAAATCCAAACCAAAACTACAATGAGATACTATGTCATACTCCCTAGGATGGCTAGAATCAAAAAGTCAAATAACAAGTGTTGGCAAGAATGTGGAGAAATTAGAACCCTCATACACTGCTGGTCAGAATGTAAAATGATGCAGCTACTTTAGAAAATAGCTTGGCAGTTCCTCCAATGATTAAACATCAAGATACCATATGACCCAGCAATTCTACTCTGAGATATAATACCCAAGAGAAATGAAAACATTTCCATACAAGAATTTGTATGGACATTCAATATTTATAGCAGAATTACTCATAACCAATAAAGGTGTAAACGACCCAAATATTTATCAACTAATGAATGGATAAAAAATGTCATGTAATCATACAATGGGATATTATTCAGCCATAAAAAGGAATGAAGTCACTTCATAACTTATACCATGAAGCCAGCATTATCCTGATACCAGAGCCAAACACATCCCAAGAAAAGAAAATTACAGACCAATACACCTTATGAATATAGATGCAAAAATCCCCAACAAAATATTAGCAAACTGAACACAACAGCGTTACTAAAAGAATGATACATGTGACCAAGCGGAATGCTAGAGTGATTAAACATAAGGAAATCAATCAATGTAATAAACCATATTAATAGAATAAAGGGGGAAAAACCTTGACCATTTCATTTGATGTAGAAAAGACATTTGTCAAAATCCACCACCATTTCATAATGAAAAACACTCAGAAAACTAGGAATAGAAGGGAACTTATTCAGCATGATAAACAGCACTTACGAAAAACTCATAACTAACATCAAGCTCAATAGTGAAATAGTGAAGGACTGAAAGCTTTTCCCCCAAGATCAGGGACAAGACAAGGATGCCTGTTTTCACCACTCCTATTCAACATTGTGCTGGAAGTTCTAGCCAGAGCAATTATACAAGAAAAAGAAATAAAAGGTATCCAAATTGGAAAAGAAAAAGTAAAATGATCTTTATTCACAAATGACATAGTCCTATATACAGAAAAAGACAAGAAATCCACACCAAAGTGATCAGAACTAATAAACAAATTTAGCAAAGTTGCAGGTTACAAGATCAACACCCAAAAGTCAGCTGTTTTTATACATTAGCAATGAACAATCTGGAAAGGAAATTAAGAAAACAATATTTGCAATAGCATCTAAAAGAACAAAATATCTGGAAATAAATTTAACCAAGGAGGTTTAAGCCTTATACACTGCAAACTTCAAACACTGCTGTAAAGAATAAGGAAAACCTAAATAAATGGAAAGATATCCCACGTTCATGGATAGGAAGACTCAACATCATTAAATGTCAATACTACCCAAAACAATCTACAGAGTCAATGTAATCCCTATAAAAATTCCAACAGCCATTTTTACTGAAATGGAAAAGCTGATCCTCATATTCATATTGAATTGCAAGAGGCTCCAAAAAGCCAAAACACCATTGGAGGACTCACAGTTCCCAATTTAAAAACTTACTACAAACCTACAGTAACCAAAGCAGTGTGGTACTGCCATAAGGATACACATCTAGAGAAATGGAATAGAATTGAAAGTCCAGAAATAAGCCCACAGATATATGACCAGTTGATTTTCAACAGGGATGCCAAGTCTATTCACCAAATAGTGCTAGGACAACTGAATTTCCACATGTAAAAGAATTAAGTTGGGCTTCTACACACCATATATAAAAATTAACTTAAAATGAATCAACAGCCTAGATGTAAGAGCTAAAACTACAAA